GGGCGCCCCATGGCTCCGCTCCCCGCCGCCGAGGGGGCACCACCGTCTCCCTCAGCGCTGGGGAGGCGTGTTAGCGAGCCTGGCCCGGGACCGGCCCGCGGCAGGGCAGGGCGCCAGGCCTCGGGGGCGTGCGGCAAAGCTGACAGATCAGACACGGGTTTGCGGGGTGGGCTGGGCAGGGACCGTCCCGCCTCAAGCAGGGCGCGAGCCTGGATGACCTCCTCCGCCGGTCCCCTCCGGCCCTGCTTCCCTGGGCAGCAAGGCTGGGGTGGCTGGGGACGGGCAGTCAAGTCCCTGGAGGTTTGCAACCCACTTGGGCCGTGGAACGGGGTGGGCCACCCGGGCCATGGCCCCACCACCTTTTTCCATGTTAATTTATGCAGTTAAAAAAAATAACTCTACAGTTTTAACCAGAAGGACGATTGTGCGTTTGTGGGTTATATAAATGAATGTGTAAAAAGTTGGTGGGGCCATGGTCTGGGCAGCCCACCCTGCTCCACAGCCTTTGTGCAGCCCTACTTCTCTGGGAAGCTACGGGCAGAGGCAATGCTGGGATCGCCAGGGATGGGCAGCCAAATTCCCTGAGGTTTGCCGAGCTGAGAGCATTCAGTAAACGCAGCAGCTGGGGGAAATCCCGGCCTGTGGAAGTTGGTGATGCTGGCAGAATTTCACCCTAGGGCTATAAAGGGGTGGCAAACCAGCGTGAAGACTGCCGTGGGCTGGGTGACTCTACCAGCTGCTTTTAGAGCACATAAGATGGCCAGGATCTTCTGTCAACCATCTACCCAAAATAGTTTGAATGTAGGTTGTGGTTACTGGTTACCTCTGTTCCTGATCAGCCTGAGTCTGAACTAGCCGTTGTGCTGGTAGAGCCTTCATAGCAGGTGTGGCCAAGCTGCAGCACACATGCCACAAGTATCACAGGTGGCCTCTGCTGTGTGGTGTGCGGCATATGGGAGGAGGCAGGCAGGTAGATAGAGCAGGGAGCAGGAAACAAACCAGAAGATCAGGCAGGAAGCAGAAAACAGTCACACATGAGGAAAGAGAAGGGGATCTGAATGCTCTTGGAGGGCTTCATTTATGGCATGCCTGCTGAAAAGGTTGGCCCCCACTGCTTTAGAGTGTACTGGAATGACTGAGGTCAAAGGCAGGTAAACTACTGGTTTTTACTTAATCCAGCTGTTGCTTTGGTCCTCTTTCTCCTCAAAGATGTGTGCTTTCTCCATATATCAAGCCCCAAGTCAGCAAAGCATCTCCACTCAGGATTGCTTAAGCCCCTGCATAAGTGCAGCTGGGACTTTAGTTTGAAAGAGGGAAGGGCTGCTGTTTCTACCAGCTCAAATGCAAATGATCAATGGATCCTTTCTTTTTCTGTCCCATGGGATCTGGTTGCTCTTGAGCCAGTCTTTAGTGATGGTCCCCACAGCTTAATAAGACCACTTCAAAAATGCACCCAGCTTTCTTCATCATGGTTTTTCTCTGAACTGCTATTCAACAGCATGTTGCCACATAGTGTGCAACATCTTTTCCTCTCAGGAGACATTTAAAATCCATTTTTGACAATGGCACTTTAGGCCCAGCAATGAAAACACGGAAACTCAGCAACCTGATGCTGTTTAAAAAATGCCATGGTTTTTAAAAATAGATTACATATTGCATTCCTTTACCAGCAACAACAGTAATCCAACACTTTCTTTCTAAAGGTTATACTTTTAACGCTGCAGATAATATATGTAATGATCTTTTTTTCCATTTCACAGCACCTTTCATCTGGGACTTTCAAAAGCAATTTTGAAACATGATATAGGTACTTTAAAGTTAAAATAAATGGGTAACATCCTACACTACTTCTGGGACATAGATATTGCCATATTCATTTTAGCCATGATTAAGCCAAGTACAAGAACTAAAATGATTTGATCTCATTCACCTAGTGAGTCAGTGGCAGAACTGAGAATTAAACCCCAGGAGTCCTAATTTCCTGTCCCTTGTGCTATAATGATCTTACCCATAAGTAGAAACTTTTTGTCCAGATAGATGTGACTTTGTAATTTACTGACTGTAGAAAAAAGCGCTGTACATCTAAGGTTCATTTCATCCTCTACTGAAATGTCACTATCTCAAGATGGAATCTAGTGACATACAATACTATGAAACAGGAAACCTAGGGGAATGCCATAGCCAGACTTTGAAGGGAGAATTTAAGATTAAAAATCTAATTACCAGTTTGGAATATGACCAGGTCATTCATGTTAATACACCAACCCTTTTGAAAAAATGCCAGGGGATTTTTCAGAAACGTTAGGTAGAACTTTGAACTTGGCTCTCATCTACAATTTCTGTGTAGTGTGTATAATAGGTTAAAATATGCAGAGAAGTCCAGTTAAAATATCGAACAAAATGTAACTAAAATCCCTATAACAGCTGATCTGTACATACCAAACAAACCTCAGCATCCAGTGATCTTCCTATCATATAGCACAAAGTTAGAAACAGGAACTCAAACTGACTGTCAATCTGTTCCAGTCTGGCACTTGCAGTGTTTTCACAATGTAGGGTAATTGCTTCTGTCCTAACAGCACAGGGATCTGCTTGCCCTGAGAAGTTATGCTTTTCTACAGCCTAAAACATTTCATGTGTTAGGATCCTTTCTTCCCTGTACCCTGTCTTTACCCCTCAGGGGGTACATCTACACAAGATGCTTAATGCGCAGAAGACCAATTCTACTCCGCGCGAGCGCGGCAGGCAAAAACCATGCTAATGTGCAACAGACTTAGTCTAATGTGCATTAATGTCACAAAAAAAGTATTCATTGGCACTAATGTGCAGTAGCGCACCTTTTGGCGCATTTAGTACCTGTTATTACAGGCAATAAAATTAATGTGCCATAATTACAGGCAATTAATGTACATGTAGATGCACCCAGGATATCTGTAATATTTTATAGGGATCACCTTATGTTGCTTTCACCAAACAATGGGGTTTTTCATGACAGTCTGAAAAACCACAGCCCAGACTGGTCAGACTGAAAGGTACCTTAGAAATACCTCAGATGTACTAAATTAGGTGGGGCCACCTATGGCTCATTCCAATGATAGACTTAGCACAATTGCCTCCAATATCCCTTACCATCACACCTCATCATTTGCTTCCCAGCTGTTCCCCTCCCCACTGAAAAGCAGTGGTAGAGTTCCAGTTCTGTGAATGATTTGGGCCACGTTTAACCTTTATTGATCTTGGCCTCCCTCAGCAGCAGAGAATTTGTCAGTTTGCTTTCTTGCTGTCCCCCAGTATGGAGGAACCTTGCCACTGTAACCAAAAAAGGCCATCCTACATTACAGCACCAGTGACCTCAGTGGGCCTGCCATTAGATCACAGTGACCTTAGAGAAGGTGCCTGGCATATCCCATGGACTGGCGCACAGCACAGCTTTCCATGGGACTCATGCCCCCAGCACTTTTAAAGTCTGTGGCTGTGGGATCCCAAAGGTAACTCAGTTCCAAATAAGAGAAGCAAGGAGCAGGGGAGAAATGATATATAAATGCAGTCCGGTTAGCAAAGTCCTCTGTAAGTGACTGATCATGCCAAAGACACCTAAGAACTGTGTCATCCTTGACTGAAACATAGCAGAGTAGGGACAGAATTTAGCAGCACCCGGCAGGGCTGCACATCAGAAAACCAAGATCCTTGTGACAAACCATGGGTCTAACCAGATGTGGATGGGTTTATACAACAGGAGCACCCAAAGTCCCAGTTAGGATCAGGGCTCCATGAGGTGCTGTGCTGTTCAAATACCTACAAAGACACAGCCCTGCATTGAATGGGTGTTTTCTGTGTACTCAAGGGGTGGAACATGGAGTTGGCTCCATTGAAAGAGCAGAGAGCAGCTTCTGTAATAAGACCCAGCACCACAGAGCACAGGAGGACACCGGATTAATGAGTATGGTGCTCTATGTTGTCATGTCTAGGACTGGCCAGCAGGTGGTAGCATTGCCCTACCAATGATCAGAAATGGTACTAGGCAGTTGAAAAAAGAAGTATTTGAGTCTGAAGTCCAGCAGAAGGCAGGGTAAGTTTGCACCTTATAAGGAGCGTTTATATGTGTTCTTTAATGTACAGTAATCTGTTTGACTGTGCATTAAAGCAGTGTGTAAAAACCCATGCTAATGTGCATTCAAATAAGCTACTGCACATTAAGCGTCACTAAAAAAAGTGCACTTGCGCTACTGCACATTAGTGCAGCCTAATGTGCATTTATTTACTACCTCATATTGGAGATCCTAAATTTAATGTGCATTAGTAAAAGCATTAATGTATGTGTAGACACCCCTAGAGTAGTTAAATCATAGATATATACCATAAGTTTAAGTAAGCAGGGAGCAGATGCTGTGAAGGGACTACTGGAGGTTCCTGGGAGAGGGCAGAATCCGTGCAGGCAGTCAGCGACCCTGTGAATGATTGGACACCTGCATTTGTGCATGTGTCTTTCACTGCCTATGCCGGAAGAAGGGTGACTGTGCCTGAAAGCTTGCCAAGAACTTTTTTCCAAATACTCAGTTGGTCTAATAAAAGATATCACATCTCCTCAAAGAACCTTGCCTGCCTATGTTTTTCACAGAG